CCAGAAAAAACAAGCGCGTGTGGAAAAATAGTCTTTGCATTTGCTCACGTCAGCAGCGTACACCCATGGGCAAATGGGGGACGCTAAATTGACCAATCAGAGCGCGCGCTTTACTTTGGTTATGTTATGTTTTACTTCGCTGCGATTGGTTTAGAATACACGCACCACCCACCACACCGGACACATGTTCCTTCGACTGGAACGACACTGAGGTCGGTCTGAGTGTAGCATGCGAGCAGGGGGGGGGGGGGCGGTTAACTTATCAGGCCCGTAAAACAGTTCTGTTTTCATTCAAGATGAAGGTTTAAGAAGTTTTGAAAATTACACAATAGAACTTTCAGTTTAAGAAACAAAAATGGACTGGTCAGGGAGCTAGAACCTGCTTTACTATCCTTTAAATTTTGATTTTTTTAAAACGTGGCTTCGGGCCCGTTAAGTTACTTGGACTTTCGAGAAACGGGCCCCAAGGTCCTCACTGTTAGCGCTGCACGACGCGAGCGTTTCTCCGCCCGCGGCAAGATTTGAGACGAGTCAATAGAGGTTAACCAAGGGCCTGGCACTTATTATGGTAAGCGCCAGACCATTACCGTTGCTTAAGGGCTCATATTTTCCGGCGGGAGACGGAGACGGTCGTCCAGAAGCGCTCATAATGCAATGACGGTTTGTCGCAGGCTAGTCTGACCGAGACTGAGTATTTTGAGTTGAACATTGCCACTACATCTCGCTTTCAGCTTTCATATAACAAAGTCTTTTTATATTTCCCCAAGATCTACGCGTACCTCAATTGATTCCCTTTTTCTTCGAACGATTACCCCCGCTAACACACGACCCAATTCTCCACTAACCCTCCCAGCCCTCAGTATGCGATTCTCAATTCTATTCTGTATACATTTCCTAAAAGGCTGACCAAGCTTCAAGGAGTTTCAGGGCTTGACACTAATGGTAGCCCACTAGCCACAGTAGAAGTTCAGTTTTGGCGAGTGCTTTTCGATTTCCACTAGCCAGTTTTGGCTAATAAACAAACTGAAATTGACGTCGTAACATCTTAGTTGTAACTAGCCACTTGGCTAGTAAGTTAAAAAGTTAGTGTCGAGCCTTGAGTTAGCTTGTTTCGGCTCCTTGAAATAATTCTCTATTTTTACTTTGCTGTTGTGATTGCTTGGGGTTTGGTTTATGGCCCTTCATAAAAAAGCAACCTTAACCCTTTTACCCTAACATCAGTATGCGAATGACCATACTACTCTCCACACACTTCCTAAGAGGCTGCCGGACCAGACGCTGTTTAGCAATCAAGGGCTTCTTTAATGGGTTACCATTTCCTTTATTCATGTGACCTTACCGTGTGTGATTCACAGGTAATATTCTAGGGAGAAATAAAAAGCTGGCCACTCTCGATGGTAAAGGGGTAAAAAAAAAACAGAAAAAAAAAAACAACAAATAATAAAAACTCACAGCTAGCCTTTCAAAGTCTTGTATCTTTTTGTGTTTCATGATCAGGATTTCCTTGGCCCTTTGCCTTTCATTTCTACACTCGGCCAGTTCAGCTATCGCTGCCTTCATGTAATCCAAGGAGGCTTTTGATGCTGCCAGCTCTAACTCATTGTGAAGCAAAACTCTAAGGAAACAAGAAAAAAGTTAGACTTTCATAAGATGTTTGTAACTAATTGAAGAATTTTCTCTTCCTAAAAACTTTAATGCAAGAAATGAAATTCCACGAGACGTCCCTCCTCTTCAGACGCGTTCTTTTTTTCTACCAATCTGCTGTGAGACACAGCATTTTTGACATGTAAAGAGTCTCACTTCTCGTTAGATTGACAAATTGTTTTCCTGGAAGTCGGTTTTTCCCTCATCAAACTCGTCTTTTTCGCCTCCCCTTTCTCTTTAAACGCGTCTCATTTCTCGTCTGAGTGAATCTGTTTTTCACGTGTCACGTTCTTTCTCGTCAAAATCGTACTTTTCACGTCTTCTTTCTCATTAAACTGTCCAAGTGATACGCGTCTTTTGTTCTCGTAGGACGCGTCCACTTACTCGTCAGACGAAACTTATTCTCGCGGATATTTCTAGCTAGCCTCAATACTATTGGAGAAAAAACCCTTACCGTCCCGATACCAGGCTAGAGGGGTGACTCCTTCGTATGGGACAACGATTAACCTATACTTCAGTCGCATCCCATGAACACAACATTTGTTTCAACCTCTTCATTTCCCACCTCCAGCAAGAGAATCATGTATGCAGTTGTTACATGCATATGACAAAAGGCATTCACGAAATTACAATTCGTACAGAGCTTCGAACTGGGATACTTCACTTTTATGGACTACATCTAAACGTGCCTGTACTCTGATTGTGTAGCCTGATCGTCCGGATGATCTGAAGTATCGACAAAAGGAAGTCATCATCTCAAAATCGAGTCTCACGATGACTTCCACTAAGGTTGTTGAAACGTATGTCAGTTTTACCCGCACCTGTCCTTCTTGGGCTTTCTCTCATCAAGATGGTCAGACTACACAATGAAATGCTGCTTCCAGCTTCAAACCATGTACTGTGTTACCTGTGTTCTGTTAGCCTGCAGAGTGCGACTTACCTTGCCAGTTCAAAATTTCCAGGAGAGTCTTGGTAACTGGCAACAAAATTACCCTCCAACTGTTGCTGGAGAGTTTGAAGTCTTTGCCTTCCTCGCCAGGCTTGATTAAGTCCTCTTTCAGATTCAATAAACCTTTGGAAATGAGCAGCTTGACCTTCCTATAATTCATGATAAAAACAATATACCTGATTTCTTCGAATAAGCGCCCTCCTCCCTTCCTTCCCTAAAAAGCAGGAATACAAGGAAAACCTGTTTCTACTGCCACTAAATTGATAACTTAAAATGATGATGCTGATGATGAAACTGTATTAAGATGTCTAAAGAAACCTCCTAGCTTAGGTTGGAAACCCCCCTTTGCTAATTAGGGGACACAGCATAAGTAAATATAAATTAAGGTAAAAATATTTAAATATAAGCGTAAGTATAAATGATATTAACAATATTTACAGTATGACAAAATGTATCTATGAATTACAAAGATGACAGCACTTGCACCCATTATCCATTAGTGTAACTCAATCTAATGTACGTATTTTGTTTTTGAAACATTTTAAGGTGGTAACTTCTCTCAAGTCTGGGGATAATTTTCCCCAGAGACTGGGCCTTAAATTGCGGAGGGAGTGGCTGCCATATGTTACCGTATTGTACCTAGTCTCCCTCGCAGCCGTTTTTTCGGAAGTCACGCAACGCTCAGCGGAGAAATCAAACTGCCTTAGGTTATAGCTAGATCTATGCTTAATAAAAATGTCACAAATATCGGAGGG